AAAAAAAAAAAAGTTGGAGGCGAACTAATGAAGAAAAAAAGGAAAATAATTTTTTCTGTCATCATGGAATGGAACCTCAAAAACCTTTTTATTATGGAAATCTACAAAATTCCATGTACCCATCACTTACATTTAACAGTTACCAACACAGCAATCTTGTTTCATCTACCCACTCTAGTCACACACTGGACTATTTTGAAGCAAATCCTAGACGTGACTTTGTTTGAAAATATTTGAGGATCTTTCTCTTTTCAAAGCAAAGCATAACAACAGTCAATCTATGTACCTCTGTTTCTGTCACTCAGCTTAGCAGTCACCCAGTGCCGTCTTCTCTCCCTCCCTCCTCACTCACTGAATGACCTGGAAGTAAATCCAAGATATTGATTGGAATATATTTAAGAGATTTTTCATTTCAGTCTTTTAAAAATACTTACCTTGCTAAACTCATAATGTGCCCACATTTGTGAACTACCTTTTAAAATCATTTCAGTAGTTCAGCAGTATAAAAGTCTGTAAACCTTGTGTTTTGGCCGGGCTCGGTGGCTCAGCCTGTAATCCCAGCACTTTGGGAGGCTGAGGTGCATGGATTGCCTGAGCCCGCGGGTTCAAGACCCGCCTGGGCTAAAACTTGGTGAGAACTCATCTCTACAATAAATTTTTTTAAAAAAATTAGTTGGGTGTGGTAGCGTGCCTGTAGTTCCAGCTACTTGGAAGGCTGAGGCAGAAGGATCGCCGGAGCCCAGCAGGCCAAGGTTGCGGTGGCTGGGAGCGGCCACTGCACTCCAGTCTGGGCGACAGAGTGAGACTCCAACTCAAAATAAAATAAAATAAAATAAAATAAAACCTTGTGTTTGTTTTAACATAACTGAAATGTCATCAACTTGGCAGATAACATTTTCCTGGAGATTTTATACTCTACTGATTCCCGATTGGATGCTGCAAGAGAAATTTTAAAGAATATTGAATGCCGTAATCTGTATAAGTACGTGGGTGAGACACAGCCAACAGAACAAGTAAGGATTAAAAGGGTAAGTTGTGCCATCTAGCATCTCCCCGTCAGTGAAAGTCACCACAGTCTGTCCTCCAAAAGGAAGCCACAAACCCATGATACCACAGGTCTGTACTGAGCTCTTTACGTTTATTCTTTTTAAATCTTCACAGCAATACAGTAATCTTAGACCTGTTTTACAGATGAGGAAATGAGGAAACTGAGGCTTGGACGAGGTTAAATAACTTGCTCATGAAAGCATAGTTAGCCAGCATTCAAAGCCAGGTCTATCTGACTCCAAATATTTACTCTCATTCAGGAAGTGAGGAGGCCTAATTTTTGGCTATATCCAACCATGGGTAAATGAATATGATAAAAAAGAACCTCAGAATAAGTACCTTTGTGAGCGTCCCTGAAGCTCTGATGACTGGTTTCACCACTTCCCTCCTTCACAATGCCTCAGTTTCCCAGGTGGCATGTGTCTTCCTTAGTCCATGTATCTGTTTTCACCTTCTGTTTATTGAAGTTTCTTCTCCTTGCCAGAAAACCATAACACAAATCTTACTTATCACAATGTCCTACCTCCATAATTTCTTGGGTTACACTTTACTTCCTCTTATTTTGCTGATAGGTTGACACATTTAATTGTTTTGCTGATAAGTTGACACATTTAATTGTTTTATAATAATTACTCTAAAGCCGGGCTCAGTGGCTCAGCTGTAATCCCACTCCTTGGGAGGCTGAGGTGAGTGGATTGCCTGAGCCTGCGGGTTCGAGATCCGCCTGGGCAACTTGGTGAGACCTCATCTCTACAATAAATAAAAAAATCAGCCGGGCGTGGTAGCGTGCCCCTGTAGTTCCCACTACTTGGAAGACTGAGGTGGAAGGATCGCCGGAGCCCAGCAGGTTGAGGCTGTGGTGGCCAGGAGCGGCCACTGCACTCCATTCTGGGCGACAGAGTGAGTCTCCAACTCAAAAAAATAATAATAATAATAATAATAATCAATCTATAGTCTAAAGAATGTCATAGATAGAGCAATATCTCTAGCCAGTTTTTTTTTTTTTTTCGTTAAGTGCTATATTCAGAGAGGGAACTTGTTCATGGCACAAACACTAAATGATAAGGAATCAGGTTCCTAACATGAGGGGTCTTATCTTCTCCAGGAAAATTATGAGTGCCTTCCCAAAGAGGTTGCCGATGCTAAGCCTAAAGTCCCATTGGAAGCTGAGCTGAGGGCTGAAGACTTTATAGTGGATGTAAGTAGTCAATCCAGTAACATAACACGTGAAGAATCTTAAAAGTCTTAAAATAAAGCCCTCCACCATTATAAAAGTGCTACACAGTTCTTCATAAAGACTTGGAAAAATACAGAAAAATGGAAGGAAGAAAATCATTTGTGGTCACTCAGAGAAAACCAACATTATTAAATAGTTTTTCCATTTCTTTATGATATTTTGCCAATACTTTTAATATAACTGGTCGTGTTTCTTTTTTTTTGATCGGGTTAAGTCTCCCTCTGTCACCCAGGCTGGAGTGCAGTGGGACAATCACAGTTTATGACAGCCTCAACCTCCTAGACTCCAGAGATTCTTCACCTCAGCCTCCCTAGGACTACAGGCACACACTACCACACCCAGCTCATTTTTATTTTTATTCTATTTTTTTTTTTTATTTATTGTAGAGATGAGGTCTTAACAAATTGTCTGGGCTAGTCTTGAACATGTGGGCTCAGGCAGTCTTCTCACCTCAGCCTCCCAAAGTGCTGAGATTATAGGCGTGAACCATGAGCCATGCGCCTGGCCTCCTAGCTCATTTTTTAGTTTTTGTAGAACCGGGCTCCGTGGCTCAGCCTGTAATTGCAGCACTTTGGGAGGCCGAGGCAAGAGGATTGCCTGAGCCCATGGGTTCAAGACCCACCTGGGCAACTTGGCGAGACCTCGTCTCTACAATAAATAAAAAACTTAGCCAGGCGTGGTAGCATGTGCATGTAGTTCCGGCTACTTGGAAGGCTGAGGCGGAAGGATTGCTGGAGCCCAGCAGGTTGAGGCTGCGGTGGCCGGGAGTGTGCCACTGCACTCCAGTCTGGGCGACAGAGTGAGACTCCAACTCAAAAAATAAATAGATAAATAAAATTTTGTGGAGATGGGGCTGTCATGTTGCCTAGGCTGGTCTCAAACTCCTGGGCTCAAGCCATCCTCCCCCCTCACCTCCCAAAATACTGGGATTATAGGTGTGTGCTACAGAACCCAGCCAATTTAAACTTGTTTAACTACAAAAGTAATACATGCCAATTACTTTTTAAACTTATTTTATTATTATTATTTTTGAGCCAGGGACTCACTCTGTCGCCCAGGCTGGAGTGCAGTGGCACACTCATGGCCACCCCAACACCAACCTGCTGGACTCCGGCAATCCTTCCTCCTCAGCCTTCCAAGTAGCCAGAACTACAGGCGCAGGCAACCACACCCAGCTAATTTTTTTTTTTATTGTAGAGATGAGGCCAAGTTGCCCGGGCTGGTCTCGAACCTGCGGGCTCAGGCAATCCACTTGCCTTGACCTCCCAAAGTGCTGGGATTACAGGCTGAGCCACCAAGCCCAGCCCAGAACAATTTTAAATATTTTTGTTATTCCACCGTATTTCCTACTGATAGACATATACATTTTCCTCTAACTTTACATTACACTAATACCAACTCTTGGGCTCAGGCGATCCTCCTGCCTCGCCTCCTGAATAGCTAGGACTATAGGAGCGGGGTACCACTCCCAGCTAATTTTTATTATTTTTTTGTAGAGATGAGGTTTGGCTATGTTGTCCAGGCTGGTCTTGAACTCCTGGCCTCAAGTGATCCTCCCACCTCAGTCTTGCCTTCAATGCAGTGGTCAGTCCTGGTCAGTCTCAAGCTTCCATCGGTTTTTCTCTAAAAGTGCAGTCTCCAGATGAATGGAGAATCAGAGGTGCTTGAAGAGGCTGCACAGGGGAAGACATGCAAAGAAACTTAACTTTGCTAGTAATCATGTTAAGGCAAACTGATGCACCAATTGATATTTTTTTTTTACTATCAGACTTGTGAGAACAAAAATGTAAAATTCTAGGTCAGGCGTGGTGGCTTGTGCCTGTTATCCCAGCACTTTGGGAGACTGAAGCAAGAGAATCACTTGAGCCCAGGACTTTGAGACAGCATGGTGAGACCTTATCTTCAAAAATTAAAGTTAAAAGTTAAAAAACTAAAAAAAAAATCTGTGTTAATATAACTGTGTGAGCTGGGTGCGATGGCTCACTTCTGTAATTTCTGCACTTTGGGAGGTGAAGGCAAGAGGATTGCCTGAGCCCAGGAGTTTGAGACCAACCTGGAGTACTTGGCAAGACTTCGTCTCTACAATGAATCAAAAAATAAGCTGGGTATGGTTGCAAGCAGCTGTAGTTCCAGCTACTTGGAAGGCTGAGATGGAAGGATCGCCGGAGTCCAGCTGGTCGAGGCTGTGGTGGCTGTGCTTGTGCCACTACAATCCAGCCTGGGAGACAGAGTGAAACTCTGACTCAAAAATGTGTGTGTGTGTGTGTGTGTGAAAATGGAAGTGTAAGTTGATGGAAGAGACCGAGTTAGAAGTAAGTTCTAAAATGTTAATTGACCCAGTTTTCATTGTAGGAATTTGTTCTAAGGAGATAATCATTTTTGTCAGAAAATAGAGGTACAAATATTTTACTATGGTATTAGTGTAGTGTAAACTTAGGGAAAAAATGTATATGTCTATCAGTGAGAAATACCATGGAATAATAAAAACATTTAAAATTGTTCTTAACATAGAAAGATTTCTGTAATATAAATGGAAAAAGGAGTACATACAATATTATTTTATTTTTGTTTCTTTAAACATATATTTACCTACATGACTGTACAAGGTGCAGTGAACACATTGAAAATATTGTGGATCTATTAACGGCAAAATGTTAACATTTTGGGTGTAAAATTGCATGTAATTTATTATTTTTTTTAAATGAACATGGTAAAATAATTTAATAACCAGAAAAACATTTTATTTTAGAAAGGTGAAAACCTTTCTTTAATCCAAGAAGGCAGATAAAATTGCTAGTTAAATGTCTCATTATCACTTGTTAACATTTCAGTTTCAGTTTGAGGGTGGAATATGTTTATTTGATCCATTTTACCATATGTGTTTCCTTTTGAGACTGTGTGGAATAACTTATTTAATGGAACCTAAGACAAAATATCACTATTTGGAATTGTTACAAAGATTTGTAGTTGTTGGTTTATTGCTGCTTTTTTGCTTTTGAGCCCTCATTCAGGAAGTGGCATCCCCAACACTTATGTTTCATTGACCATATGTAAAACTGTTTATCCAATCTGTTTAACTGAGCATGGTGGCTCAAGCCTGTAATCTCAGCACTTTGGGAGGCAGAGGTGAGAGGATTATTTGAGCTCAAGGGTTCCAGACCAGCCTGAGCAACATGGCGAGACCATATCTCTATAATAAATAAAAAAATTAACTGGGCATGGTGGCACATGCCTATGGTTCCAACTACTTGGAAGGCTGAGGTGGACGATCACCTGAGCCCAGCAGGTCTAGGCTGTGGTGGTAGTGGATGTGCCACTGCACTCCAGCCTGGATGACAGAATGAAACTCCAATCCAAAAAAAAAAATCCGTTTGGAGTTGTTCCAGTCATACATTATGGGGAAAGTAGAGCTTGCCTCTTACAGGCATTCTAAAGCCAAGGAAATAAATACTGAAGAGCTAATGGCACTTCTTAACATGCATGGAAGTTTGGTGGGTGTATGAGTGTCCCTCCCCACAAGAAATACCTGCCCTGAGGTCGTGGGAGGGTCGGGCAGTTGTCGCCTCTGGCGAAGGGGCACAGCGGTCAGCACCAGTGGACCACCAGGTCAGGAAGGCTGTCCGTGTCCCTCATATCCCTATGCTGCTCATCTCTGCACTCAGCCAGATCCCAGATGCCACTCCTCCCACAGGCTGCTGGCCATATGGCTGCCGCACCTCACGCACCTGTGTCCTTCAGTGGCCCCTCACAGGTCATGCTCCTGTGTTGTCTGTTCTGTTCTTGCCACCGTCCCCACATTACTTCGTTTTCACCCTTGTTGCATGTCCTGCCTCTCCCTTCTTCCCAAATCTGTCCAGAGCCCTTTGATCTTGTACGCCTAACACACTCCCCCATATCCCTAGGCCCCTCACTACATATCTCCTTGCCTTCACTGCAACCTTGTGTCCCCTGAGACCCTGCATCCCCGGCAGCTCTCTGGGGAAGACATGCTTTGCAGGGCCAGGCCTTCCTGCTCATCCGTCCTCTTGTCTCCTAGCACCACTTCAGGACCTGGGCAAGAGCTTGTCCCTCAGAGGCTGACAGCCTCAAACCAGCTCCTGTCTCATGGTTGCAGTTGTTAGCGTGGTGTAGTCTTCCTCTCTGCCTCAGTTCCTGCCGCTGACCTGGGTGGCTCGTGGTCCACGTGGAACTACCCGTTGACCTCTTCATCTTCGTCCTAGGGACCTTATCCCCTGCACTGAGGCCAGCACTGTCAGCAGATTACACCCTGGGCCTGTTGACATTCAGACTGCCCTCCCCTGTAACCACCAACCGAAACACCCTCTTCTATGTCCACAGACTCCTTTCCTCCTCCTCCTCAGGACCTCCTAGTTCCCGTCGCCTCACTTTTTTCCTGCTTGTCTGTGGCCTCAGTCTTGTCTTCTCTCCCAGTCTAACTTAGGTTCTGTGATCCATCAGTGCAGGAGTTTTCTGCAATTGCCCTCAATGCCCTTATCCTTTGCATTCACCTAGCAAAAGGCCAGATGACCAGGATGAATTGATTCTAAACACCCCCATGCCTGAACCTGAACACAGGGTGTCTAGAGACAACCCCTGTCCTGGCAGATCTACAGACTCCTGGTCAGCACCTCAGCTGGGCCCTCCCAGTCTCCATAGTGATCACTTCCTCCTTTCAGCACTCCAGTCCTGGTCCCTACCCCCACTGTGTTCACCCTCAGTGAATGTCTCAACCTTGACTCATAGATAAAACGCAGGTCATTAGGTAGGGACCCACTGGCCCACCCACCAGATAAGGAGGTGGGCCTCCACGCACCACTGCACTCTGCCTCCCCCTTTATTCTTACCAAAGGCTCGGGGCAGTTCTGGCATTCCCGACCATGTCCGGTAGCCACTAGCCACACGTGGCTGTTGAGCCCTTGACATGTGGCTGCTGCAGCTGAAGAACCATCTGAATTGTATTTCATGTTAGTTTTTTTAAATGTATGAGGCCCCCTGTGGCAGTGGCCACCCCATTGAGCAGTGCAGTGTAGAGCCAGTCTGCACTCATGGCTTCTGTGGAACCTCATGGTGTCGGTTCTCTCCATCTTTTTTACTTTCCCATCAACAGGTAAGATGATACACACACTCTTCACCCCTCCTATTCTTCAGGGTCAAACTCACCTCCACTTATCTTTCTAAAGCACCCTCCCTTTGAACAGCCAAACTTCCAAGCATGTCTTCTCTTACCTTTTCTTTCTCATCTACTCCTGAGCCTTATTGTCTGTTGCCATTACTATACCACAACTGCTCTCTCCAAGGTCACCAGTGACATCAGTGCTGCTGAATCCAGCAGATATTTCAGCCCACTCTGCCTTGGAGCTGTTTTTCTGCCTGGAGTTCTGTTCCTTCCTACCCAAGCCTGTTTAGTTCCTGCTCACTTAGCAAAGCCTCCGCTAGCTTTCCCATTTTCAGTCATTCCCCTGGGATGACTACATTAGAAAGTTTCAAAGCACCTTTGCTTTAATTTGGTAACTCTTATAACAAATGTGGTTAAATAGTTAACTTTTATAATTATTTGTTCAACCTCATCTGGGCCACATGGCCTATGGGGGTTGGGATTGTATTGGAGCTATCCCTGTTGTATTTCTAGTGACTCCGAGTATCTGTCCTACACTTAGGCTGAACACACAAATACATTTCCCTCTCTCCTCAGATTTCAAAACCAAATCCCCAAGTGTGGTCATACCCCAGAGTTATCTTTATTATTATGTGAGCCACCTTACCTGTGTTATTACTTGTGAACCCCCAGGGGGCTCTGTTCCATTTCTTGTGATGGCCCTACAACGCTGAATTTAAAGCTGATGGTTATGTGATTTACTTATTGCTTTCATTAAGGTTATCAACATGGATTATGGAATGGAAGACAAGAATCCGATTGACCATGTACGCTTCTATTGTAAAAGTGACCTCAGCAAAGCAATCATGATTACTAAAAACCAGGTAACTACTTAGGTAAAACAAATATACTATAGTGGCATCTAGTAAGTCTTTATAGTCAATTTGCATTTTACATGCAGATTAGGTTTTAAAGTCAGTGTGGACAGTAAAAAAAGAAAAGACATATCTTTAAACTTAAAGTATGTCGCATTACAGCACAATTCACAATTGTAAAGATGTGGAATCAACCTAAATGTCCATCAACAAATCGATGGTTAATGAAAGTATGGTGTGTGTATATCATGGAATACTATGCAGCCATAAAAAAGAATGAAATGATGTACTTTGCAGCAGCGTGGATGGAACTGGAGATCATCATCTTAAGTAAATTGACTCAGAAACAGAAAACCAAATACCACGTGTTCTCACTCATATGTAGACGCTAAATGGTCAACAGATGGAAATAATAGACACTGGGCCCAGCTGGGCTTGGTGGCTCAGCCTGTAATCCCGCGCCTTGGGAGGCTGAGGTGAGTGAATTGCCTGAGCCCGCGGGTTTGAGACCTGCCTGGGCAACTTGGCGAGACCTCATCTCTATAATAAATTTAAAAAAATCAGCTGGGCATGGTAGCACGCACCTGTAGTTCCAGCTACTTGGAAGGCTGAGGCAGAAGGATCGCCGGAGCCCAGCAGGTTGAGACTGCAGTGGCCAGGAGCGGCCACTGCACTCCAGTCTGGGCGACAGAGTGAGACTCCAACTCAAAAAAAAAAAAGACTGGGTTGCAATTCTAGTGGGCAGGGCATGCTGTGTGGTTGAAGTCATGTATGTTAAACGTTCTTGTTGGCATATCTTATTGAGAGTCTGTAGTCTACTGTGATGTAAACTTTTAGTCTTTTATTAATTTATACAAATGTTGTGGAACATTTGGCAGCACAACAATTACCTTGAACTAGTAAACTATTCAAATTCTCAGTGGAAGAAAATAGCAGAGCAACGTGGTGCTTGTGATATACTGTCACTAATGGTGTAGGAGCCTAGGGAACAGCTGATATCTGTCTAATGTGTGAATTCAAGGTGACAGTGAGATCTTTTCACTTTAAAAAAGGTTTCACAGCTCCTGCCAGAGAGATTTGCAGAGCAGCTGATTCGAGTGTACTGTAAGAGGACAGACGAGAAGAGTTTGTATGCGGCACAGCAGCATTTTGTTCAGTGGTGCTTAATCAAAAATTTCACCAAGCCACAGGTGAGTGGCCTCTTCTTCACATACTATGTACAATTTTTTATTTTTAAGTAAAAACAAGGAGGAATCCTTTTGACCCATTGGAAAGTTCTCATTTAAGTTAAAGTCATTTGGTTATGGTGTTGGAAATAAAGTCTACTTTCTTTCCATTTATTTATTTATTTATTTTTAGTTGGAGTCTGACTCTGTCATCCAGGCTGGAGTGCAGTGGCATGCTCACAGCCACCACAGCCTCCACCTGCTGTGCTCCAATGATCCTTCCACCTCAGCCTTCCAAGTAGCTGGAACTACAGGTGCATGCTACCACACCCGGCTCATTTTTTATTTTATTGTAGAGACGAGGTCTCACCAAGTTGCCCAGGCTGGTTTCAAACCCACGGGCTCAGACAATCCACTCGCCTCGGCCTCCCAAAGCGCTGGGATTATAGACTGAGCCACTGAGCCTGGCCTCTTTCCTTTTAAAATATCCAAATCTCTGTCAACTAGCAATGATTTCTTCCTGCATGAGTTGGGAGTGGAACAAAAGATAAAATGGTGAGCATGTGAATGGTGCTTTGTAATATTCTTTTTTTTTTTGCGTTGGAGTCTCACTCTGTCACCCAGGCTGGAGTGCAGTGGTGGCATCCTTATGGTCACTGAAGCCTCTACCCACTGGGCTCAGGTGATCCTTTTGCCTCAGCCTTCCAAGTAGCCGGAACCACAGGCATATGCCACCATGCCCGGCTGATTTTTGTATTTATTGTAAAAACGAGGTTTCGCCATGTTGCTCAGGCTGGTCTCGAACCCCTAGGCTCAGGCAGGACCAGGACTGAGCTTTGCTTCACAGTGTGAGGAGGGGGCCTCTGTGCAGAGTCCTGTGAGCCAAGGGCAGTGGGAGCTGTTGAAGGGCTTTAAGCAGGAAAGTGACATTTTTTTTTGAGTTGGAGTCTCTGTCATCAGACTAGAGTGCAGTGGCACACTCCCAGCCACCGCAGCCTCGACCTGCTGGGCTCTGGCAATCCTTCCACCTCAGCCTTCCAAGTAGCTGGAACTAAAGGTGCGCACTACCACGCCTGGCTAATTTTTTGATTTATTGTAGAGATGAGGTCTCGCTAAGTTGTCCAGGTGGGTCTTAAACCCGCAGGCTCAGGCAATTCACTCGCCTCGGCCTCCCAAAGTGCTGGGATTACAGACTGAGCCACTGAGCCCAGCCAGAAAGTGACATTTTTAAGTTTGCATCTATAAAATTCACTAGAGTTGAATCTAGATTGGGTCGAATGAAGTTGGGTAGAAATAAAGATGGGTTTGGAGACACACTGCTGACTTGAGGTAGACCTATCTTCACATGTGGTTACACATGGCAGCTGAACAGTGGCCTGTCACAGTCCCATTATGTCAGCACCTGCGAAGTTCAGCAGAGGAAATTTAACATGGGCAAGATGCAAACGTTTGGCAGAGCTCTGCCAGCATACAGGATGCTGGGACACAACAGGAAGCTGCCCACCTCCAGGGCGGGAGAGACCATGGGAGAGGGTGGAATTGGGCAGCTGGGGCCACCGGCAGCAGCTAAAACCACAACAGAGTCAGGGCCACCACTGTCCACACCCAGAGGGCTAGGGAGAGAAATGACCCGGCTTCTCCACCTGCCTCACTCAGTCTTCACCAGAACCTCTGCCAGAAGCCTAGGGGTACAGGTACTAGGAAGCAGAGTGCACGGGAGCAGCCCCGTGGAGCAGAGCAGTGAGGGGTGACGAGGGACCCGCCAGCACACAAGTGCATGGGAGCACATTCTCCCGCCCACTCTGTTCCTGGTGGACAGAGACTCCCCACAGCCCTGCACCTGAGAACCTGTCCATCAGCTTGGGTGCGGTTTACAATAGCATCGGGCATTAGAGGGCCCTGCCTCCACCTCTCTGCTTTCAGGTCACAGTGCCACCTCACTGTGAGGGCCTACCTCGTTCTGGGTGAGGCACCCATCTGGGGGCACCCTATGCCAATCCAAAGCGAGGACTGTGACCATTCTGCACTTCCATCCTCCTCCTCCTCGTTGCCATCCTGTAACCTGGGCCCTTCTTGCCGGGGGGACCAGGCCAGAGAGGAACTGGGGTTCAGCGCAGCCCATCTTTCTCCCGGGAACATGGGACAGGGTTGGTGTCCATGAGGTTGTGAGGGAGGAGCCCACAGCACAGGGCCATAAGGTGCTGCTTCCCGTCACCTCTGGGAGAAGAGTGTGGTGGCTGTTGATGGAGGCTCTTCCCTGCTCAGGACTATGGTGTTTGTACCTTGACATGAGCACAGGGCATGTGTACCTGGAGTTTTTCAAGAGTAAGTGCACCCAGGGGTAGCCTGTGGCCTGTGTACCTGACATGCATTCAGCAACGAATAATGAACACTGGCTTTTCTCTGTTTTCTCTGTCCCTCATAGGACGGTGATGTTGTAGCCCCACTTATAACACCTCAAAAGTCGGAGTGGAATTATACAGCTTCAGCACATGGTCCAGCTCGCATCCGAGAAGCATCCAAAAGCAGGGTCCAGCTTTTCAAGGATGGTGCTGTGTGAATGTCCACCACCGGCTGTTTACAAATGCCCTCCCAATATTTAGCTTAGAGCTTCAGTTATGAGTTCCACAGATCTAGTGACAACTAGTGCTTTTAATTTTATATTCTGAAAGTATATGCACACCCTGAAGCCAAGTCATTTTTACTCAAAGAAACAAAATGGCATTAGGTAAATCTTGCTAAAGTATAAAAGGCATTACCTTGCCTATTTTTAAATATTTTTTCTCCTTCAGTAGGATATATTTTTTAGAATAACAACTCTTTTTCTCTACTATGAAAACTTTTTTAGAGGGTCTTGCTCTATTACCCTGGCTGGACTTAAACTCTCCTGAGGTTAAGTTTGCCTTAGCCTCCCAAGTAGCTGAGACTATAGCCACGTGCCACTACACTCGGCTTATTCTGAACTTTTTTTTTTTTTTTTGAGTTGGAGTCTCACTCTGTCGCCCAGACTGGAGTGCATTGGCCACTCCCAGCCACCACAGCCTCGACCTACTGGGCTCCGGCGATCCTTCCACCTCAGCCTTCCAAGTAGCCGGAACTACAGGCATGTGCTACTGCACCCAGCTAATTTCTTGATTTATTGTAGAGACGAGGTCTCACCAAGTTGCCCGGGTGGGTCTCGAACCCGGAGGCTCAGGCAATCCCCTCGCCTCGGCCTCTCAAAGTGCTGGGATTACAGGCTGAGCCACTGAGCCCGGTCTATTCTGAACTTTTATGGCAGATGATTTTTGTTTTTAATTCAGAAATGAGACAAGGGTACAGATTAGAATTGGAAGTTGGAATTATCATGGGAAACATGGTTAAAAACAAAATCCTGGCCCCTGAGAGGGATGGCCCTCAGGTGAGCTAAGTGTGAGTAAAAGACATCACTCCTCACCCCTAAAGCCCTGGAAGCTTCCAGGTTGGAGTAAACAGGAGTACCAGGGATGGCTCTGACACTTTGATGAAGAGCTGATTTTTTTTTTTTTTTTTTTTGAGTCAGAGTTTTACTCTGTCACCCAGTCAGTGGCATGCTCACGTCCACCACAGCCTCAACCAGCTGGGCTCAGGCAATTCTTCCATCTCAGCCTTCCAAGTGGCTGGAACTACAGGTGTACACCACCACACCCAGCTATTTTCTTGATTTTTTGTAGAGATGAGGTCTCATCAAGTTGCCCAGGCTGGTCCCAAATTCCTGGGCTCAGGCAGTCCTCTTGCCTCAGCCTCCCAAAGTGCTGAGATAACAGGCGTGAGCCACCATGCCCAACCTGGCCTATTCTAAGTATAGCATACAATCACTTTTGGAGAGATCCCTGCCCCATGGCAGAGGGAGCCTTCAAGCCGGACTCTTCTCTGCATCAGTTGCAGCTCAGACCTGGTGGTTTCTTTCCTTCTGAACACTCCCTGCCCCAGTCCTGAAGGCTGTCCCGGCCCTGTGTGGAGAAGGCCCCCTGTCAAGCACATCTCCATGGCAAGCTGGCCAGAGGGCATTAGAGGAACTGCCCTCAGAGCTGCTCAGACCTGGGACTTTGTTTTTGCTGGTTCGGTGCATTTTATGAATTTCAGAGCAAAGATTGCACTGCTCATGCTGAGAATGGTAATACCCAGTGGGCTCCAGGTTCCCCATGTAATTTTGTTTTCCAGTACTGGAGTGGCACCACCACAATTGAGCAGTGCTCCTGTGCCTGGGGCTCCCCTATTCCCAGGGCTACAGCAGCTCACCAAGAACAAAGTCTGCAGTTAGAACCAGAGCTGCTGGTGGCCAGAGGGTGCTGGCCCTAACATCTTAGGCTCCAGTGCCCCCTTGACTGGACCCTCTGTGGCGGACTGCGTGAGCTGCAGCCCCGGCATGGGGCAGCCAAAGCAAGCAGGGTCCCTCGGACCACAATCCAGTGTTTACCCAGCATTTCAGGAGTGCCGTCACTGCCCGCTGTATAATCAGTTCCTATTCCGTCCACACTTGGAATGTCTGCCGTCCCATGTCATCCATCAGTAGATAACAAGGACTGACTATAATTCACAGGAGAATAGTGAAAGCCCTTCTCCCAGATGAGAGGGCTCACAGATGCACACACGAGGATGGCTGTGGGACTCGGTCCTGTCTGAGCCCCGGTGCCTCCAGAACCCTCAGGGGAGAGAACTGTAGATTTTTGAGACGTGAGGTCAAGAGTGGAGTATCTTTCTGCTAAAACTGTTGATTTCTGCATATTTTACCTTTAAATCATTGTAGCTTACTTTGGAATTTTGTAGTCCTGACATGGTATCACTGTGCTATCTGGAAAACAAGTTGAATCTGTTTTGTTTTCATCTTTGTTACATATAAGGCAGCTGCGCTTTATGTTCTTTGCAACTGTTTTAAGTATGAAAGTCCCGTGTGGTTAAAAGGTTAAATTTTTCTTAGGCAACATCTTCACTATTTGTATAAAATCGGAGATTTTAACACCTTACCTCTAGAGAGTTACTGAACATTGTTACCTCAGGTGTAAATAGAACTGCAAGTTAAGTGGCTGGGTACTGGAGTGGGGTGAGGGAAACAACCACAAGAAAGCTTGGTGATCGTCACTTCGACTTGAAACTGAAGGTGCAGTCCTTGATCATGTTCCCTCACCATTGGGTGCCCAGTGTTGACCCTCCTGTGCAGAGGAAATGCACTTTGTGTAGGAATCCGCTCAGATGTCTCTTGGTACTACAGTACTACATCCGGTCTGTGAGGGGGGCAATGGCTACCAGGACCCTCGGCGTTGGGCCCTCCTCACCCAGCAGCTGGCGAGCAGCAGCATAGTTAGGACCTCTGTCTGGGAGCAGCATGCACTCGGGCGGGGATATGAACTTTTCGCCAGTTTTCAAGTCCCTGTTGTGCCAGAAAGCATACACTGTCCTCTCTTTTGACCTCCCTAAGACTTCTGTCCATAAAGCTTTCAACTTCTCTGTCCAAATATGCATATTATTCATTTGTTGCTTTACTATCTTTCCTGGGAAATTAAATACCAGATTTGCAAGCGCCTGGCTGGTGGCAGACACAAAGCCTTCAGTGTTCCAGAATGGGCGCCAGGCAAGAGGAAGGACAGTGTTCCAAAGTCTGTCTTAGCCTTCTTGGTCAAGCCCAGTTTAAATAATTCCCATACATACAGAGTGCAGTCCTGTTTTTGTAGGACAGTACATGGAAAATCGTCTGGAAGGATGCACATGAAAGAAAATGTTAGAGTTTGAGGTGGTTGAATTATAGGCAATTTTAACTTTATGTCTTCTGGTTTTTCTACAATAAACATGCATCTGTTGTAGAACTTCTAAGAACAAAGTTGGCAATAAGAAGGTAATTTCGTGAGGAATTTTGTGCTGCTGAGCTAAGGTGTAAATGTCCTCTCCCTCCATCACCTCTACACAAGAGCAGTGCTGCCCCGTCCCCATCTCGGGTCCCCAGGCCACAAAGAGGGGCCCACGGCTGCAGCCAGCACAAGTGCACCTCGCCCCTGTGTTTCGGACGGGCTGCCCTGTGGGAAGGCCTGGACCCATGGGGGGCCCAGTTCCTGCCACTGCAGCCATCAGCTCAGAACCCAGGCCTCCAGCTCTCTGATGCGGAACTGTTCCTGTCGGGCCAGCACCTCGTTGTTGAAGGTCGCACAGGGGTAGCTTCCCCCGTGAAGTAGGTCTCCATCCAGCCACAGTCCAAACTGGCCACTAAAGAGAATAGGGAAGTTGGGTGTGGCCCGCTCTGCATGTCGAAACCTTAGCGTCTACTGCCACCTTCTTTGCCACAGCCCAACTTCACCTGTTTTATCTCAAACCAACTCATCCTGAATGGTTGGAGACTCAGCACGTTGTTCTCCATGCAGTTCGGTGCATTTTTAAAAACAGTTCTAGCCGGGCTGGGTGGCTCAGCCTGTAATCCCGTGCCTTTGGGAGGCTGAGGTGAGTGGATTGCCTGAGCCCGCGGGTTCGAGACCCGCCTGGCCAACTTGGCGAGACCTCATCTCTACAATAAATCAAAAAATTATTAGCCGGGCATGGTAGCACGCGCCTGTAGTTCCAGCTACTTGGAAGGCTGAGGCAGAAGGATCGCCGGAGCCCAGCGGGTCGAGGCTGCGGTGGCCGGGAGTGGCCACTGCCCTCCAGTCTGGGCGACAGAGTGAGACTCCAACTCAAAAAAACTAAATAAAAATAAACAAATAAAAACAGTTCTGTGAGCCGGGCTCAGTGGCTCAGCCTGTAATCCCGCGTTTTGGGAGGCTGAGGTGAGTGGATTGCCTGAGCACGCGGGTTTGAGACCCGCCTGAGCAACTTGGGGAGCCCTCATCTCCACAATAAGTCAAAAATTAGCTGGGCGTGGTGGCGCGCGCCTGTAGTTCCAGGTACTTGGAAGGCTGAGGGAGAAGGCTCGCCGGAGCCCAGCAGGTCGAGGCTGTGGTGACCGGGAGCGGCCACTGCCCTCCAGTCTGGGTGACAGAGTGAGACTCCCAACTCAAAAAGTAGAAATAAGACAGTTTTGTGATTTTCACATATGCAGTGATGCAACCAAACACTTGGCACGTGTTCGAGATGGCGGTGCCTCATCGAGGGACTGAGTCTCCCGGGTAGAGCCCAGAACCCTCCCCAGGGCCTCCGCTGTAGCCCAGCAGCCCAGCGGAGGCAACGCCAGCCGCCCCAGACCCGAGCACCGAGGCGCCTACCTGCCACTGCCCATCATCAGTGAGTCCGGGTCTCCCTTCACAAAGAAGGAGTTGCTTCCCGTCCACCTGAAGACCTGGGGGAGGGAGAGGCTCGGGCTGCAGGGCGAGCGTGTCCTCGCCGCCCCCCGGGCCGCCAGGTGGCGGTGTCGTGGAGGGAACGCGTCCCGGCCCCAGCCCGGCCGGCACGCGGGCTTTGGCGGCTGCCCTGGCGCCCCCGGGGAG